TTGAAGAATAAGTAATAGTTTGTCATGATTTTACGGGGAAAAAGTCAGAGTGCAATGTCACATCTTAAAGACAGCTTGAACTGGATAGATGGTTAGTCTTTTTTCAAACATACCATACGTTCTGCATGTTAGTATATTTGGCCAATCGGGTTAGGCCCTACTGCCCCACTCCCTCAATAGGGAAGTCACGCTTTGGGAAAGAGGTGTTTAATTTCACAGATCTGACTTAATTGTTGTTGTGATGGCTGAAGGAAGAGGGACGGGGGAGGAAAATTCAGAGGGTGAAGAAGCAGAAAGATAACTTGTTTGTAAAACGGACAGCACGTCAGTTTCAGGAAAGATGACACCGGTTTTATGCATGACATGCCAAATATCCTGAAGCCCTACAAAAACGTATATTGTGTTGAAAATATCGCAAAAAGTCGTAATATTGTATAATGTAATAGTTGCATGTTGTATTTTGATAAAAATCACTGTATATTCAAAAATATAATGGAGAGAAAAAAACAAATATCACAGTATGTTGAAAAATATGAAAAAAGTAATGTTGTGTTAAAATAACATGAAAGAAATCAAAAGTAAAGCATCTAAAAAACATATATTTAAAAAAAAGTAATGTTAGTCAAGTAATTCATTACAAATGAATGAATATTTTACCAAGTTATAAAGTTTTCCATACATAAACGTGTATCTTACAGTTCCTTTGTGAGAGAATTACGCACAAATTGCAGTATTTTATCTGTTTTATGTGCTCTATATATATATATATATATATATATATATATATATAATTTGTTGCACTGTTGGAGGAGCCTGTGACCTATATTTTTCATTGACATATCTACACTGTAGCTAATGGGCATATGCCATAAAGCCTTGAAACTTGAAACTTAAAATTATCAGAAACTGCATTGTCTCACTGAAAACAGCTCTAAAGAAAACCCAATTCCATACAAAAGTACTTAACTTTCTACCAGTTGTAAAGTGTTGCTCACTTCAAAAGTGTATCTAAAAAGTATCTTAGTAACAAAAACAAAAGCATTAATGTTAACAACGCCTCAAAGGGCGGACTCCTGAGTTCCGTAATGCCCCCATACCATGGCATTTGGACTATTTACATCATCCAGGGCTCAACAGCAGTAAATACAGCTCTCTTTATCCGCTCTCCAAGCCTCCAAGGGCGGGCTCCTGAGTTCCGTAATGTCCCCCTAACATGACACTTAGATTATTTTCATCATCCAGGGCTCAACACCAGTAAATGTAGCCTCATGTAACTTCATATAGGGATTCATTAATAGTTGTGTGAAGTAATTAAACAATAAAAAGACAAGATCAAGGGGTCATTAAGATCTTTAAATTATTATTTTCCTCTCAAAGAGACTTTGTTGTAGTTAGTAAAATAATTAAACATTAGTTCACAAGCCCTACAACTTAAGAGAACATCCATAGTTAACACAAATCATATTAAAACTAATCTAATTTAGAGAGGACAATAAAAGTTTTAGGTGACTTGGTGAGTGAAAATTAATGGCTGATAGCCAAATCAGGAGGTGACGGGCAGTGGGGAGGGGAGGGGTGGGAGGGGGTGTGAGCGGAGACAGTCTCACACATCCAGACTCCATTTTTCATGAAGAGCCTCCGACGGAGGGTCTGAACCCGGCACAGATACTGCATCCGTTTCTTGACTGGAGCTCCCGACGGATGGCGGTAAGTTGTCACAGGCGTCTCGCTGATTAAACCCATATCGATGCGTCTCTTTGCCATTTTCGTTTTTGAAAGTTTAGGTGACTTGGTGAGTGGAAATGACTGGCTTTTTATCTAGTTTGCACGGATTTCTTTTTTTACCTAGCTCCACCCCCACCTCTATCTTCTGACATCACAGCAAAAGGAAGGGGGGAAGGGGTGGGAGGGGGACGGGGTGAGAGGGGGACGGGGTGCGAGGGGGATGGGGTGACAGGAAGGGGTGAGAGGGGGACGGGGTGCGAGGGGGATGGGGTGCGAGACATGTTACAACACCTCACCACCCTCACATCAAAGGACATACATCAAAGGGCTAATTAGAGTGACATCAAAGGCTTATAACACGCCGGTGCGATATCACACCTACATGTTACAACACCTCACCCCCTTACATCAAAGGACAGACATCAAAGGCTAATTAGATTAGACAACAAAAGGATCTACTACAAGGGGGAATTCACACCTACATGTTACAAACACCTCACCCCTCACATCAAAGGATAGACATCAAGGGGCAGACATCAAAGGCTAATTAGATTAGACAACAAAGGATCTACTACAATGGGGAGTTCACACCTACATGTTACAAACACCTCACCCCTCACATCAAAGGATAGACATCAAAGGGTCAGACATCAAAGGCTAATTAGATTATACAACAAAAGGATCTACTACAATGGGGAATATCACACCTACACGCTACAACACCTCACCCCTCACATCAAAGGATATCACACCTATCTGTGAAATCACACCTACACGCGATAACACCTCGAACAAAGGGGGTCATTAGCATATCAAAGGGGCTCATTAGCATAAGTAGGAGGCGGGACATAGCAGGTGTGACCTGTCACTTTTTATGCATACTAATGTGATTGAAGGAGCATCAGTAATACTACTAACGTAGAACCTTTCTTTTTAAAGATAGCTGCAGATTTTATTGCTCCACCTCTTACTTCTCTTTTTAACCTCTCCCTCAGCACAAATACAATTCCAAAAGTATGGAAGTCAGCGTATGTCCTGCCTTTGCTAAAAGGAGGGGAGGCAACTGTTTTAAATAACTATAGGCCAATCTCGAAATTGTCAGTTCTGGCTAAGGTGCTTGAACGCCAAGTGAGTGAGCGGGTAAAGGTGTTTTTATGTAAAAATAATATCCTGTCTAAACATCAGTCAGGCTTCAGAAAGCAACATAGCACCATCACTGCCACAATGAAAGTGGTGAATGACATTACAAGTATTTTAGATAAAAAGCAGAGTTGTGCAGCTCTATTTATTGACCTTTCCAAAGCGTTTGACACCGTCGATCATCGCATCTTAAAGCAGAGGCTACTCAGTATTGGCTTATCCAGCCATGCAGTGGGGTGGTTTGTGAACTACCTCTCTGAAAGGTCCCAATGTGTTCACTTTAATGGGCTGTCCTCTGAGTGGTTGAACATTGCTAATGGTGTTCCTCAAGGTTCTGTTTTAGGTCCACTTTTATTCTCCATATATATCAATAGTTTAGGTGAAAATGTGGATGAAGCTACTTTACATTTTTATGCGGATGATACCGTGATGTACTGTGCAGGTCCCTCCATTAAGGAGGCGGTTGTTAAATTACAGGCTGTTTTTAACATTATTCAGACTCAGCTCTCTGAACTAAAGCTTCTTTTAAATGTTGAGAAAACCAAGGTAATGCTCTTTTCTAAAGCTAAAAAGACTCCAGAGACTGCTTTGGATATTGTGACTATGCAAGGACAAGTACTCCAAGTGGTTAGCTGTTATAAATACCTTGGTATCTGGCTTGATGATTGTCTTACTTTTAAACTTCAGGTCACTAATCTGCTTAAAAAGCTGAGGGTTAGACTAGGTTTCTTTTTCAGAAACAAGTCCTGTTTCTCTTTTGAAGCCAGAAAAAGGCTAGTCACTGTGACCTTTTTACCTGTGCTAGACTATGGTGATTTGATCTATATGAATGCACCTGCCCATTGCCTGGAAAGGTTAGATGCCGCCTATCACAGTGCTCTGAGATTTGTTACTAACTGTAAAGCACTTACTCATCACTGTACCCTGTATGCCAAGGCAGGTCTGGCTTCACTTACTGTTCGGAGGCTCAGTCATTGGTACATATTCATATATAAAGCCATGCTGGGTAAACTACCGACTTATATATGCTCTTTGATCTCACGGAGAGTGGCAAGTAGCTATTGCCTGAGATCCCAGGATGTGTTCTTATTACATGTGCCAAGTGCTAGGACTGTTTTAGGTACTAAAGCTTTTATGTGCGCTGCTCCTCTAGCTTGGAACACTATGCAAAAAACATTGACACTGAGCATTTTGATTCCCTTGCATCATTTTAAAGCACGGCTGGATGAAATGTTATTGGATACCTGTCACTGTAAATAGGTTGCTAATTTATACCCCTGTAATTATGTTGTGATGTCCTTTTGTTTTCTGTTGTTTTTATGTGTAACTAATGTACCGCAGGTCTCCCTTGAAAAAGAGATCGTTGATCTCAATGGGATTTTTTAACCTGGTTAAATAAAGGCTACAAACAAACAAACATACTTTTATTAATATAAAAAATATGGTATAGGAATAAAATACAAAACACACCAAAATATGAAGTGAACTCAATTTTTTATATTTGATTATTTTGTATTTATATTTGATTATTTTAGAGTTTTATTTTAAGTAACACCAAATATAATCTTGAAACGGTTTCTACGGTGGCCTTGCAGGGACAGACCTCTCCATCATCACCAGAAACTCTGCAGCTTCAGAAATTATGCAGATATAAAAACATTGTTTATTGTTAAGAGATGTGTTGTAACAACTTCCTGCTGTATTTTATGTTTCAGATGTTCAGTGTTTCTCTGCAGTCAATTCAATTCAATTCAATTCAATTCAATTCAATTCATTTCAATTCAATTCATTTTAATTCAATTCAATTCATTTCAATTCAATTCATTTGAATTCAATTCAATTCAACAGCTTTATTAGCATGACCATAGTTACATACAGTATTGCTAAAGCTCTGCATAGTTGCAACATCTATACACAAATACATACATACAAACAAACTGCTATATGATATAAGATGTGAGACGTGAGACCATGGCTGTCCGCCTCGCTGTGTTTTTAACCTTTTTACACATTAAGAAAGTGGGCCAGGAGTTATATCAGAGTTCAATAACACTCTGAGCACACAGACTTTGTCCTGGCTCGGGGTCTCTCGGGGCCTCTGGAGCTCGGTATATAAACCGTTCAGCCGTCTCCTGGATCAGTGTCTTCACAGATACCAGAGGGTGCATTTGGTTTTTTGATTTGTGTCTCAGGATGAAAGTCTTAAAGGGAGCGCTGCTGCTGCTGCTGCTCGCTGTTGCTAACGCGAAGCCAGACCACCATCACGATCACGATCACCATCACGATCACGATCACGATCACAATCACAATCACACGGATCAAAAGCCTGCGGACCCCGATCACTGCCAGGTCCTGAAGATGCTTGCCGAAGACGACCTGCAGCAGGTGAGACCCATCATTTATTTTACGGTGTCTCACAGGTGCTAACACGCCCAAAAGTCTCCCTTCAGGAGAAAGGGGGTAATTCCTATTAAAGTATGA